TTTTTTTAAATTTTTTTTTTTTTTTTTTTTTTTGGCATGATTTAATTGAATAAATGGCATTTTTCATTCACAGTAATAAAAAAAAACAAAAACAAACAAAAACAAAAAACAAAAATTTACTTTTAATGACAGAATTTTTTGCCTTCAAATCTTTCCACCAAAAATGACTTTTTACAACAAAAAAATTCTGATTTTAACAGTGAAATTTCTTGTAATTTCCCTCAAAATATATAATCTTCAATGGCCACACGGTTTTGGAGGAATTTAGACCCATTCAAAGTCAACTCTCAGATTTTTGTATTCTCTTATTTCAGCCCAACATTATATCATTTAATTTATTCTATTTGTTTATCTATAAAAAAAAAAAAAAAAAAAAAAGTTCAATTTGCCCGTCCACTTCTGACCCCGAGGCATATATCATTCCAGGCATATTAGCAATTTGTGTTCGAATATAAAATCTTTTGATTTTATTTAAAACTATCTTTTGTTCAATTTAAAACTATCATTTGTTAGGAAATATAAAAGTCACCTTTTGTTCAATTTATCCTTAGTCGGAGCACAACAATCTTCTGATTTTATTTAAAAATAGCAAAACTTCTCATTTATCAAATGGATGAAAATCATGATTGGTCTAGATAGGATTGAAAAAGAAAGTTGAAAAAAAATTATTACGCACTTCTTTTTCCTTAACTATCTTCTTCTCAAGTATGGATTACTCCTAAACACGTAGTACTACTTCTAATTTTGTCATTGGTCAAAATTGTGATCGAAACAACTTGAATGCGTTGATCATATAGATAAAGTCCACTCAGAGCCACTCCTTAATTTTGGAATAAATACGTATGAAGTGTTTCGCCTTTCCCTATAAAGAAAATAAAGGTATGAGAATGTAACTCACTAATCAAACTCATATTGCTCAAAAAAAAAATAATAATAATAAATAAATGTTAAAACTCTACCCAAATTAGTCTCTAGAATAGTTATGTCGAGTCGAGGACAGTTGAAGTCGATGAAATGATGTTTGAATGAATCTAACTTTAAAAGAAAAGTTGATAAGGTTAACTTTTGTACCTTCTTGCATGTTTTGACAAGCACTTTCATGCCTAGGTAACCCTACATGGACGTCCTCGAAACACTCGATTGAGTTAATTCGATTTGATTTATTCGTTTAATTTATTTGTCCTGGTCAACTTATTAGAATAGCTGGGCACTCAGACTTTCCTAGAAACCCATTCTTTGCACAACCTGTACATTTCCTAATTTATAGTCAACTTGAAAATTACATTGAACACTAATTTTAAGTACCCCGCCATGCATTTCAACATCCCATGGTAGAGGGCATTTCTTGAACTTGTCAGTGTTTTTAGTACCATGCGATGAACATGCTTTTACATTATGCCTTATTCCATCTCTTTTTGTTACTTCCACTGGCACCGGCAGCACCACCGAACACCACCGACGTCACTACTAATAGCCACTCTATCGCCGCCGGTGCCACCATCACAAAACCTGGTTGCCCAAGCAAGTGTGGAACTGTAACTGTTCCATACCCATTCGGCGTTGGTGTGGGCTCAGGCTGTTCCATAGCTTCATGGTTCGATGTCAACTGCAGCACTTCATTCGATGATCCTCCGAAGGCCTTTATCGGCACCGGAAACCTCCAGATTCTTGACATCTCCGACAGCGAAATACGAGTCAAGAGTTGGGTGGCTGCAAGTTGCTACGACCAGTTCGGTACGTTGACCCGCCAGAACATGGCCAACATTGATTTAAAACCCTCGTCACCTTACACCTTTTCGGATTCCAATAAGTTTACAATTGTGGGCTGCGATGAATTAGCATTGATAGCCGGATCAGAAGGCCGGAATTTCACCAGTGGATGCGTGTCTCTTTGCTCGAGCAGCGAGGATTTAATCGAGGGGGAGTGTTCGGGAATTGGTTGTTGCCAGACAGCAATTCCGAGGGGTTTAAAGAAGTTTAATTCTAACCTCCTAAGTCTCAATAATCACACAAATATTACGTCTTTTAATCCTTGTGGATATGCCTTTCTTGGAGATCATAATAGTTATATCTTCCATAAATCAGACCTTTTGGATCAAACTTTTCAAAATAGGACTATTGAAAATGTTCCAGTAGTGATTAATTGGGCAATTGGCAATCAGAGTTGCACAGTTGCTCGGCAATCAAATGATTACGCTTGTCTTGGGAATAGTACCTGTGTTGATTCTGATACTGGTCTTGGGGGATACCGGTGTAGCTGTTTACAAGGATACGAGGGAAATCCTTATCTTAGTCCCGGCTGTACAGGTATTTCTTTGTTGTTGTCTTTATATGTTGTACAAGAAAGAAAATGAAGTTAGAGTTCACTTTCCTTGGAAATTTAAGGACTAACTAATATGTTTTCTTCGACAGATGTTAATGAATGTGAGAATAATCCTTGTGATGAACACGGGATTTGTACAAATACTCCAGGCAGTTATAATTGTTCTTGTGTGGATGGATACTTGGGGGATGGCAGAAAAGAAGGACGCAGTTGCATCGCTCAGAACTCTCAGTTTCCAGTGATTAAACTTGCATTAGGTATCATCTGATATTAATATAGAATCAAGAATTCTTGAAAATGTGTAAATTGATCTTGACATAGTTTATTTGCTTTGGTTGAGTTCCATACGATTCATACTAACAAAACAAAATTGAATTTTTTTAGGTATGGGTTTTGGCTTCTTGGCCACAATCATTGCTGTTACTTGGCTATATTTTATCATTAAAAAAAGGAAGCTTATTAAACTACGAGAGAAATTCTTCCAGCAAAATGGTGGGGTGCTGTTGAAGCAGCAAATCTCTGCAAATGAGGGTAGTATGAACTCAGTCAAGATTTTTACTGCAGAAGAACTCGAAAAGGCCACCAACAATTATGCAGAAGAGCGCATCCTTGGTCGAGGTGGTTATGGTACGGTTTATAAGGGACTTTTGAGTGATCACCAAATTGTTGCAATCAAGAAGTCGAGAGTAATGGATCAGACTCAAATCGAGCAATTTATCAATGAGGTGATTATTTTGACACAAGTAAACCATCGAAATGTGGTGAAAATCTTGGGATGTTGTTTGGAAACGGAGGTTCCTATGCTCGTATATGAGTATGTTTCGAATGGTACACTCTTTCATCATATACATAATAGTGCTGGAATGCCTTGGTTCTCATGGGAGAATCGTCTGAGAATCGCATCAGAGGCTGCAGGTGCATTGTCCTATCTGCATTCGGCTGCTGCAAAGCCTATTATCCATAGAGACGTAAAATCTCCCAACATACTATTGGACGAGTATTATACTGCAAAAATTTCTGATTTTGGAGCATCTAGATTGGTGCCTATAGATCAAACACAAGTGACGACTCTAGTCCAAGGAACTTTAGGATATTTGGACCCCGAGTACTTCCACACGAGCCAATTGACAGAAAAAAGTGATGTTTATAGCTTTGGGGTAGTTCTTGCTGAGCTTATGACAGGTAGAAAACCACTGTCTAATACAAAAATCGATGAGGAAAAGAGCCTTGCTACTTTTTTTGTCATGTCATTAAAGGAGAACCGCCTTTTCCAAATTCTCGAGCCTCGTGTGCTTAGAGAAGGGAGTTTAGAGCAACTCCGTGCTCTTGGCGAACTTGTAAGAAGATGTTTAAGGTTACATGGTAACGAAAGACCAACTATGAAAGAAGTGGCTATGGAACTTGAAGGATTGAGGAAATTTACAAAACATCCATGGGCTCAACAAGAAAACCAGGAAGAATCTGCAGGCTTGATGGTTGAACAATCAGATCTCTACACTGTCACAATTAATCCTGATCATGCTACAGGGGATTCTACGTCGGGACTGTACAGCTTGGACAGTCGTATGATCTACCCGGTTCACAGTCCTCGCTAAGTAAGTTCGGTTTTCCATATGTTTTCCACCCTGGTGAATAAAATGTATTTCTTTAATAATTCTACTGTACTCCTCTTCTCCATGTGGCGGGGAAAGTTGACTTTATTTGCACCTTGAGTTGGAGGTTCAAGTCAAGCTCCTTCTTAAACCTCACCTCCATTTCCTTTTGTTCTAGAATAATATTCCTCAATTAGGGGAATTTGACAGGGCTGGAGTGACAGGTGAGGTGGCATCTCATCCTGTTTTTTTTTTTTTTAAACAGTCCAATTACACGCATTCTCCTATTTATGAGTATGTCATTGATTCCTGTAACGAGATTGCTTGTTTTATTCTCGGTATTAAGAAAGTTTGTGATCTGTAGTGGTTTTTTTTTTTGGGGGGGGGGGGGGGGGGGGTTTTTTTTGGTTTTTTTTTTTTTTTTTTTTTTTTTTTTGGGAAAAAAAAAAAAAAAAAAAAAATATTTGTTTGACCTGCCGATGTGGGTAGGTGGGTAACATAATTTTTGCCCACCGTGAACAGGGAATAAATTTTAGCATAATGAAATGACATGCTGCAAAATTCCAATGGATTTTCTGTGTGTTTTATTCTACTTCTATTCAGTTTCGGACGGTTCCTTTTGATGTGTTTGTAATTTTCGTTTTTTTTCTTTTTTTTTTTTGGGTCTATGAAGACCAATAAGTTTCATCTTATTGTACTGTACAGCATTTGTGTATGTTTTAGACTATCTTCAAGAGCTGCTTTAAGAGTGTATTTGATTGACATGGAAAATATCACCTAAAAATGAAAATATTTTCCTTCTTTTGTGGAAAAATAAAAATCATCTCCGCCTAAGGAAAATATATTCCTTAAAAAAAGGAAAATTATGCATATTTTCAAAAGTTGAAAAATATTTTTCATGAAAAAAATAGCAATCAAACACTCTAAGTAGGAATTTGGATGAAAAAATGATATTTTTCATGGAAAATAAATGTAATCAAACACACCCTAAATGTAAAATATTTACCATTTTAAAGAATCAACCTTTAAAATAATGCTTGAAAATATTCTTCAAATTAATATTTAAAATAAAGAGTGAGTTTGGCTTTCCATCCTCACTCCATAATTAAATGCATTCAAAATATTTCAATTGAAAAAATTAATATAATAGCTCAGAGGGAAGCTAGTGAAAAAAAGATAAAAATAATAAATAATCTTTGGGAATAGTAAAATTAAGTATTAAATATAAAGAGCGTGTTGTAGTACTTAAATTTTTTTACTCTTTAAATTTTTAGACCCTCTCTGAACTGCAAAATATGCTTTTTGAAAAAAAAAATCTCTTGAAAATGTTCTTCATGGGAGTCTACAATTCTATAGCATTGTTCATATTGAAAGTTTGGACAGTATTATCCATAAAAATAAGAAATCAAGTCTTAGTAAATATAGATTTTGTTATATCATATTTGATTTTGTCTATTTTTATTTCTTAGCTCCCAATGGAAGGGATAGACCCAATATCAAATTAAGCCTCTATTTGGAAAAAAAAAAAATGTATATATTTTGTAAATTTTGATAAAAGTTGATGAAACATATTATTGAGCACTTGAAAAAAGTTGTGTACCCCATAAAATATATCATTGAAATTAAATTTTAAGAAATGGGGATCAAGCTAGGACAATCTATTTCTCTGTTTAACACCCATTATTTGGAAATTCTTTTTTCTACATACCTATTTTCAACTACACATTCATAAAATAAAATATTCTGCACGTAATCACCTAATTTTTATAACTTTTTGACCCACCTTCTTCTAAAAATTACTATTCAAAATATTGCTTTTCCCAAATAATTACAATCCACTTACCTCTACGAGGCGTGCCTAAATCTCTTTACTTTTTGTAGATAACCTTGAAAAGGCCATTTTTACATACAAAGCTAATGGTACTCTTATATAGACAAGGTTAGGTGAGCAATCCCGTTGGGTCAAATCTATCGGTCAATTGCTATTCCTTTTCTTGTTGTTTTCTATTTGATATCTATTGAGAAGAGCCCTTTTTTTTTTTCACATAATTTTGGAATAGTAATTTTTTGAAAAATGTGTGGTTAAAAAGCAAGAAAAATTTTTGGATTTACATGCAAAATATTTTATTGTGAAAATATGATTAAAAATGAGTTTTAGAAAAAAAAAAAAATTTGTTTTTGGAGAATGTGTATTTGCCCACCCAGTTTAGCCAAACATTCTTTATCTTTATTTTCACTATGTTTATCTTATAGATATTTTATTTTTCAATAGATCAAGACTGGTAACATGGAACATAACATGTCTTTAGATCTTCTTGTTATATAAATGGTATGTAGCTTTAAGTTGTTAAAGATTGAAATACTTGTTTACTTCAATTTAGTTTTGTGCTACTTCCCTCACACGCAGAATGAATGTAGTGTTTATTAAAGTTCTCGCATGTATATAATTTTCGTAAATAAGTGATAGCGAGATTTAGGCCCCGATTGGTAGGGATTTTTTGCCCCAAAAAATTAATTTTTTGACCGTTATTTTACTATTCAAACCGTAATTTTTGACTTCTTCTCTCACATGTGGACCCCACTTTTCTTCTAATGGTTAAAAAATCAATTCTCAAAATTCCTACCAAACGGGGCCTTAATTCAAAATGTCCATCAGTTGAATTATATAATCTAAAAGCTTCAATAATCTCTCTATTTCAACCAACTTATTCTAATTCTTAGCTTTACACCCTTTCAATTCCTAAATGCTTAAAATAATCATTTTTAAGAAAACACGATCTTTCGTAGTGACTTCATTACATATTACACTAATTTATACAACCCTGCTTTTTGGCCTGATTTTGACCCTGGCCTTGTGGCATTTTTGTAATTCATAATACCAATTATTGAGAAGATGAATGCAAGAATCATTATTTTTCTCAGCCTGGTTGAAGACTTGAAGTCCACTCTAATTTGTAATTTCTTTTTAATGAAAAATGGTTGTCAAAACTTGGTTATTTTCTTGCTAGGTAGGGCCCATTCTCGCGTGAAATAAGGCTGGGGATTGATAAAAATTCTAGCCAAAGATTCCAAAAGATTTTCGAAGTCAATTATGTTACTTTTTCTTTTCAGGAGTTAGATTAATGCAAATTGGCACTAATTCAACTCATTGGAAACTAATTCAATCACTGTTGAAGAGGTGTTGCCCAATGACTATGACCTGTAGTTGAACTAGTCCTGCGGCTGAAGCTGTGTGTTCTGAACGTGCATGGAGTTATTTAGGTATATTGATAATCTTATCCTTGATATTATGGTCGCATATTATCTGTAAAGAAGAAAGTATCTCTTCGTAAATTTTGTCTAGAGGCCGAGTTTTATGTCTCGAACTGTACGTGTTTAATGTATTTGTCCTTTATCTCATGTATAGGTCGGGATTTATGTCATACCTACATCTAGATACAATTGGAGTTCAGTGAAAAGAATTTGCATGGAGTTTAAGGTTTACAAAAACATATAAATTAGTTTTGATAGAGCGAGCCTGCACGACAAGTAAAAGGTTTCGTTGTGTATATTTTAAATTAAGTTTAGCTAAGCTAACTTCTCAAATATACGTTGTGTACACTTTTATTTCCATTCTATCCATGTAATAGGGTTCTATTCGTCATCCCAAAGGGTTGCGAAAACAAGTTGACCACTAAGGTGGTACATACGGACTGCCTTGGCCCAATCGTCCAATATGCTTGCTGTTGAGAATTAAAATTTACCATCAGCAAAATAAAATCGCAGGAAGGAAAAAACTTAAAATAATAATATTAAAAAAAAAAAGTGAAAGATCTATAGAGCGTCATCTCAGTGTGAAACTACATAATCTTCTCCCGTTAAAGTCATTTACTGTGATATATCTTGCTCGCACATGTTTCTTTTTCTATTTTTATTATTAACTAAATGTTTAAACAATTTAGAAGTTTACTCATGAATAACCTCAAAGACAATGTTATTGTGGACGATCCAAATACTTCAAAAGACCATTTTACAATCCTTCCCATGGTGCTCAGCACGGATTTCATTGTATTTATAACATATATTGCTACGTAATTTCCCCTAATTGTGCGTGTGCTTGTAAAAATTTAAAAAAATTCTAAGAGATGATCTCTCTTGACCTTATGATCAATCAAAGGTCATTAAAAGCACCACTTTCTCTTCCATTTTTAAGATCCTAGTACTTATAGGTTTCCATTATTGATGACTCCTTATTTACACAAATGTGCAAGCTACATGGTACATTAGATATTTAGGACAGTCTTGTTACACTAGTGCATTGAATTATCAATATCATGAAGGATATTTTAACATCCTTATTTAATTTTGTTTAGCGCTATCTAAATTCTGACAATTGATTCAAGTTAGTGGGATTGTTAATTGGGTTAATTAAATTAGATGTTTGGATTAACATAATTAAATTCTTTGATTGAAGGATTTTCTAAATCATTATAAGCACCTAGAAAGTGCACGGATGCTACCTACAATAGTGACAAGAGGATTTGTTGTATTGTTTCTTTGATTCAAGTACAATAATGTAATAGTGTGCAGCACTACCCATTCGAATATCGATGGGATATGTTTGATACCACTAGAAGAGTCACCGTTCTTCTACACACGATATTTGTTCTTTTCATAATTCTAATAAAGACTCCTATGATTACTAGTTGAATTGCATTAAGGTGGAGAAAGGGGTTAATTAGGTTGATCGTACAAATTATGTGCATGCAACATTTTCATATATGACAGATTTAAATTGAATTTCATCAACACGAAACGCAATAGTGTAGCATTTTCTTCTATAGTTTGATGAGTTTTGAATGACATTTTTTTCAATTCTCATGAATAAAAATGGAATAATTTGTAGTCATCTTTGACCAATTATTGAATAAAAATATTCCAGTAATAAATTAGGTGTCCTTCACAAATTAAGAGCAATCTCGTTGGGTCAAGTCTGTATGTCTATTGCTACGCTCCTATCTGAACCACCTTGAAATGCCCATCACCACACACTCCGATCTGATAGACACCCACCCGAAGTGGTTCCGAAGTGATATCTCCAATGTCAACGACCTTCTATCACACTACGAGATATAGGCGATCCTGCTGAACTAACCAAAGCACCCTCGCCCCTGAGACCAAAGTGAATCCGCCGCCAATTTCAGAAGGGGATCTTTGCCAAGATCCTTTCCGCCCCCAAAGGTTTAAATTGATTTGACGTCTCCATGAGGCTAGTTGATGTGACTTATCAACTTTATGTCAACTCAACTCGGGAGAAGCAATTACCCGCCCACTCT